GGTCTAAACTGCCCACATATGTTGCAACGTTGCATGTCAGTGATCAGGTCTATTGTAACGGTTGGTCTCGCTTAAGCTGCCACAACTGCAGGGAACAATTGGAAATCGTGTCTCATATTGTTAAGGGCTGTCACGTGCGTCGTAAATTTTGTCTTAATAAATCTGGAAAGACATTTTCTTTTAAGATATATTAGTGAGTTGCGTACAACCAAAAAAAAAAAGGGGGGGGGGGGGGTATTCGAGGCTTTTGGAGCAAAGTATGTGAACTCCTCAATCCCTAATCCAAGGACCCTTTTTCTACCTCGCGATTTCATTTTGTATATAAGCATATTCTTATTTAATAATTATTCATATATTTCAAATACTCTATGAATGTATATACTTCATTCGTAAATTCCAGAAAATAAATTAATTCTTCACATATTCTATTTATTTGTGGTGAAAGATTATGTGAATATTTTGTTTAGCTCATTCTGTTCTTTCTTCGTCGTTTCTCCTTTAAGTACTGTCAATCGATATTTTTAATTATAGTAAGGAAAAAAAAACAACGGAATCTATTTAGTTAAAACAAAATTGTTTTTACTCTAATTTTACTAATTTAAATTTTAATTCGTACCATGAACAGAAAAAACAAATCTTTGGAGGACAAAAAATTGAAGCAGATCTCGTCTTAGTAATAACTTATGTTTCAGATTTTAAAATATATTTTTTTTTATTCTAACAGAGAAACAATTAAACAAAATGGCAGGTGCTTTTTGCTAATTATGTCCAGGACTGAAATAGCTGCTCCATGTTTCAATATGTGGGTAGTGTCTTGGTCACAGATAGAATACGGCTAGAGACTTTTGACAGCTCTTGAAGTACAGCGATACAAAGGAGATCTGAAAGACATCTGGTTCTCGTATATACATCAAATTTAAAATTAATTACATTCATGCAATGTATTAGGGAAATGTAACATCTTAAAGCATAAACATCACGTTCAGGATATCACTAATGAGCACATCATAACATCATTACAACGTGTATTGTATATATAAAAACAACTTAACGAACCATCGCATTACTAAGTAGTAACAGGCATGGATTGGTTCAAGCCCATTCTAGATAACACCACAACCCAAGGTTTGAACATGTATAGCCAGCTTCGGAGTAACTACGGGCTTCCATTAACTTCACTTCTGGCGTTACTTCAAGCCCACAATTCACCCGAGGGCACGAGACAGAAACCGGAACTCCCCATCTTATCAGAAACATCCTTAAACCAGAAGGGAATGACAGGCGCCTCTGTGTCCTCTTTCGGGCAAAAGAAAGCTGATTTGTCGGGACACTATCGAAGAGAAAGAAGAAGATTAAGAACTGATTTAAAGGTGACCTTTGATGACTCGTGCCAGAAAACAGAAAAAGAAGGTGTAAAGAAACCCATCCAAGAGAAGAGAACTCTCGAAACAAGCGGGCTCGCTTCCCTTAACGACGGGCAGCAGACAACAAACAACGGAAGCCTCTTTTCCGCTTCGTTGAATGTACGACACGTGATACGTACTGACAACTGGTACCAACAGCACCTGATGAACAGGAGACTGGAGCCAAGCGATTCCTTGCATCACCTCTCGTGGCAAAGAAAAGAAAGCTACATCTTTCCTGATTCGTCCTACGAGTCTTCTTCGGAAAACAACGAGGGCGAAGGTCAACGGTTGGTGCTGTGCCAGCGAGTGAGATTGAACGAGAGACGAATCTCTCCAAAACCATTTGTAGTAGTCCCCCACCCGGCATCAACTAGGGTCTTCAAAAACATCAAAACGGATTCTGCACTCGGCGTGGAATCTCCAGATTCTGAAGCAGGCAACAGACATTCAGCACTGGGAGGTGGCGCCATTTCCAAACAAGTCCACGTGCAGGAAGATCTCTATGGCGTGGCGCAGTCAAGAATCTCGCGAAGGAAAACTACGGTCCTGACGAGGGCGAGATCCAAACGAGCTATTCGATTACAGGGGAAGAAGAGAAAGACAATAAAAGAGAACGCCCTCGTTATGACAAATCCAGAAGAAGACTCGACCTTCTCCGAAGTCTCTCCGTGGAACTCATTTTCTTGCGCCAGTCCGGTGGATAAATCAGACAACGGCTCAACCATCACGGCCATTGGCGGAGTCAGTCAAGGGACGAAACAGGAGGTAAAAAGGCCAAAACTAAAAAGGAAGCCTCTGGTTAGGGTTAAGAAGAAAGCGGTAAATGACAATACAAAAAAGTATATGAGGATTGTGGCGGAAACGGTGCAGATCATGGACTCCTCCGCCCAGACGTCCCTATCAGCAAACAAATTTCAATCCGACAAAATTGGAGATGAAATTTTTGGAAGACTTCCAGACACTCCAAGTCAGAGGTTGAAGAACATTGCCTGCTGCAGGGCTCTTCCTCCCCCGCCTCCTGAATCAACGGAAAAGCTTCCTCATATCGCAAGGTCAAAGTGCGATGAAGAGCCTGTTGCAGGGGAAATAGCCACGCCCATGGATCCGGTAGCACAATCCCAGCCCATTAGCGGGACATCCAAATTTACTACCTTCATAGAAGCGGTGAGAATTGTGGAAAGGGAAAAAGGTCGAAAAATGAGCAATAGCCTAAGATTAGACCCGCCATGGATTGGGTCAGAGGAGGAGACGTCCGTCACCGAGACAGTTTTTCAAAGCAAGAGCAGTCGCCTCCCCTGGACTTCAAGATCATCATCTAGGCACTCTTCGCGTCCGTCGTCTGCTATGAATTCCGCCAATAATGCCATGAGCTCCACGAAACCTGCCAACTACGATCCCGTGGAACTTCTCAGAAGGTTCCGAGAAAATCTGGGCACCACCAGAGGTAAAGGGCTTGGGGCTACTGCCCGCACTGAAGCACCCCGCCCCCGTAAACCCAACGCAATCCAATCGATAATTCGCTCTTTGCAAAAAAAAACGAAGACAGTGCACCCTGGTGCCTATAGTATCTTGCATCTCCCACGACAATGAACTAGCTTTCTTCAAAAACCCATCCTGTGTTAAAAAAAAACAAGGAGCCATCTCGAAACAAAAGAGCTCAGTGGCACGCGAGGCACCGAAAATACACCAGCCGCAAAAGAAAAAAACAAGGAACATTAAAATGAAAAAAACTAGATCTAATCAAATCATCAAAAAGAAAATTTACTTGTAAGCTAATCAAAGATACACTTTATGAAATATTGTCTTCATCTAAAGAGTGTAAATATAGAAAAAAGTAACAATCATCATTAGTATGTTTGTTTTTTTCTTTATTTATATAACGATCTTTTAAAATTTATTCTATATTATTATTATTTTCATTACCATTTTTGCAAAGCTTATATCAACTCACTATGTCTGTCAGGTCAAAAGTTTGTACACGTTGTTACGCTGACACCCAATCTCGGATCAAGCAGAAGTTTTGCACCATTATTTCTTTTACTTGACAACACAATTATCAATATTAAAACAATTAGCCAATTAACTGTTGGTAGGCCTAATGAATTATTTTGCCAGGTATCTCGAACAATGGAAAGAAATTGTACTGGACTGAAGTGGTGGTATAAGTTAAATACCAAAAGCTAAGACAAAGATGTAGAAGTACTAAGAGCCTCATTATATTGTTTTTAACAGATGACATAGAAAAGCCAATGTGTTTTCTGATCGAGTCATTACAATTATTGGTCATATTCATTTGGTTTTTGGATAAATTGTTAATTACAATTAATTATTGTATTAAAAGCTTGCTCGAGTTCAACCTAGTGATTTCAATGAATATTTCCTGTCTGCTATTCCATGGATTTTGTTGATAGTGCTCTCCCCTTGTCACTGCACTATATTCAACTATCTTGCACTCTCTCTGTGTCGTGCACAATTACTTCGCTTCGAAACAAATGCAGTAACTTGCTCGTAATAGAAATTCTCATTTTCATACAACTAAAAATAGATTTCTAGTTAGTTCGAGCAATGGGAGAAACTATGGTTAGGAAGAGTATTTATATAAGGGAAGGCAACAAGCGTCTCTCATTGAGTTATTCAAATAATATTGTTTACTTTACGAATCTACTAATGAAATTAAATAATGTTGAGTATTTGTAAAAAGTAAAGTTCCCTTTTTAGAACCATGCGGTCAACAGGGCAGATGATGTAAAGGTCATCTGTTTCTGTGGCCCACTGTTAACGAGGGTGTCATGTGACCAGCACAACAACCAACCACCTTTACCCATTAGAGATGGCTGGACTAAGGATTCCAAAATTAGGAATCCCAGTCTTCACCAGGATTTGAACCCGGGGCCCTCTGGTTCAGAAGCCAAGCACTTTGCCACTCAGCCAACGCACCTCTTTGTGTATGTGTAGTGTGTGTTTTCAGGATGCCATGTTGAGGAATTAAAATGTTTTATTTGGCTAAGAGGATTTCAGATCTGTTTCTCTCACTGAAATAAGTATCTCCAGGATTACAGAGGAGCTTTGTGTCATAAGACATTGTTCTATACATAAAAAAAAAATGAAATTGTAATCCACACAATCCCATGGTATTACTGAGTTTGCTTTGTTCATCACTTTAAGTATTTTAATTTAATGTTCCTTGACATTGAGGGACCGGGCTATATAAAATTCATTTCAACTTCTATGTCACTGTCAAACAGCCAACCACTAAACATTAAAAAATCTATCATAGGAACACTGCTTGAGTTCGATTCCAGCTCACTGACATCTTCCACCAGGTATGTAAAAGTAGAATATCCCTTTCAGATCGATGGCCAATGTGGACAGCACACTTAAGAACTGCAATTACTTTTCTTAACTAATGTCAGGTACTCATTAAAGTTGGGCGGACATCCTAAAAATTCAGAAATTCAAAATTCCAGACTTCACTGAGATTTGAACCTGGGGACCCCTTAGTTCAGAAGCCAAGCTATTTACCACTCAGCCACCTCAACCCCAGATGAAATTTGTACTAAGACATAATAATCACAAAACTCAGTGAACACATGAACAAGTTTCCACATATATTTCATTGAGTTACATTTTTTTCCCCCAACCAACTAGAGACGAATGTGTTCTTGACTTTTATTAGTTTTATGAACATGGATGGCTCATATGTAGGTCAGTGAAACAAAAAATTATAAAGCCAGCCACTTTAAAATACAAGGTATCAAGTAGGACTCAAAGTAAACTATTTACACAGAGATACTTCACCAAAACACACACACACCAACACTTTTTTAAAAAGCATTTTTTCATTAAAAAAAAAATATTTAAAAAAAAAATACAATTAAAATATCTTATTATCTCCCTTGCAAGGAAAAAAAATTTTTCGACTAACCATAAAATGTGAATCATGAATAGTGTATAACTTTTTAGTTTACATTTCATAGTACAAATATTGACACTTTAACCATCAGTCAAAACACAAGTAAGTCATAAGATACAATATGTCAATGTGAAGTTATGTACAGTTTTGATTCATAATTTGACAATCAACATCAATCATTTATCAAAGACACTTTCTCTTTATACTCATTTTTTTTTTTATTACCACCCTCCCCCATTTTCTTTCTTGAAAAAAAAAAATTGTAACTTGCATACTAAAAGAAAAAATCAATGAGAATGTGGTCAACAGAAGAGTCACAGTGCATACCTGTTGAGTTGACCAAAATTAAGTTGCTAGATACAACAGACTTAAATATTTAATTAAAAAAACACTTTCATGTACCTAGCACATATGACCTTCAAATACATGGTATATTCAATTACCTCTATAGCATTATCAGATTGTTTAGTTAAAGCTATTTCTAGTTAGTATTTAGCAGTGCTACTCTCTCTCTCTCTCTATGTGTTATACAAGTTATATCTAGTAGTTAGTATTTAGCAGTGCAACTCTCTCTCTCTATGTGTTATACAAAAAGTTATAACTCAAGAAAACAGAATTGAAAATAAGCAGAGCATCTCTTGGTCCAAACTTTCCTGACGTGACAAGTCCACAGTACATGAATCAAAGTCAGAATTAAACCAGGACAGGTGTATATAAATTCAGAACTAGCTTGAAGTATACGTGATTCTGTCCCCTCTTTATATTGCTTTCAAAATGTCGAAATGTGTTTCAAAAGCATGAACTAAAGAGTTTTGGTTTGTTTCAAGACTGTGGACTATAAAGTTCTTGGCATGTTTCTCGAAAGTTTAGGAAAGTAAGAAGTAAAGATATATAAAACTATATAAAAGCAAGCAGTACAGATAACTACTCAATGAGTGTTAGTATGCTAAATAAGGCAATTCACTAAACAATGCCGTCTAAAATTTTCAAATCTTACCAACAAATTTAAAATTGTTTGATGGTTAAATAAGAACGAAAAAACATTCCCTCCAAGAAACTTTTAAGTTTCCATCTATCCAAGGCTTATCCAAAAAAAAAAGTTCAACATAAGATTACAAAATTAGCCGAGAAAAAAGAAGGTTCCAACAATTTCAATACTTTTCTTTAAAAAATAAAAACAATCAAATGTTAGTAAAAAAAATAATGAGTTAAGCCCCTTGGATTTAGGGAAGTACAAACAGAAGCATTAAAAAAAAAATAAAATGACTGTATTTGAAAAACAAAGTAATGCATGGTTAGTTTTGACATTCTGCCTTATGGATTGTGCAATGTAAACAGGCCCAGTTGGTCAATATTTTATGTAAACAGAACTCTAGAAACACAAACTTTTACATCAAAACAACACAGAAAAAAACAAAAGGATCTCACAAAACCTTAGTCTGAGATAAAACATTTTATCTGGGGCACCCAACAATTAAAACTGAACTACCGCTATGTAACTACAAGTATTTAGTTATCAACCATTTTCTCCAAAGACTCTAGTCCAACTGAATGTCTCATGATGTATATCATTTGTAAAATAAAATATAGTAGTGTACAAAAATTTCTTTATATACATCTCATGTATAAACCAAAAAAAACTAGAATATCCCAATGATAAGGTGGAAGCAACTAATGGAATTCAATTGACATGATAGAAATAGCAAGACACTGACCAATGTCAGATTTTGAATGACCACCAATAAAGTCAGTAAGAAATGATGTATAAAAACCGATTACCAGATAAAAGGTCTGAATTATTACAGACTATACACTATTGGTTATATAGAGAAGTAATATCAATGTCTACTTACGCCCACACACACGACATCATCATGTCTTGTTTATAATCTCACACACACGACATCATCATGTCTTATTTATAATCTCACACACACGACATCATCATGTCTTGTTTATAATCTCACACACACGACATCATCATGTCTTGTTTATCATCTCTTTTGAGCACACCAACCAAGTGACAGAAAGAGCAAAGATACTTGTCCCATCCTATTCTCAATGTTAATAAATGATGAAAAGAAGTTAGTAACAAATGTCCATCCAGTCACAACAACACAAGTACCTTAGATAGGTAAAACAGTCAGTGACCTTCCTTGGGTTTGTGTCTTGTAGCACTCCCTAGAGCTTGGTCTTCTAGGCAAGAATTATCAACATCATGCGTACAGCCTACAACCGTTTTAGAATTTAGAATGTTAACAATAAATAGATGACTGAGGCATTAACACAAACATCAACGATCACTAATAATGTGAGACAGTAGACCTTAGTGCAGAGTGATAATCCAATGTCTTCACACACTGAATAGGTTACAAATGTGACCAAAGCTGATAAAAGGAACTACAAGCAGAGAATGGAGCTATGATAACTAACCCCCCAATGATTGAACTATGAAGCAGACAGCCCATTGGTTAACATTTCAAATCCATGCCAATTATGACAATTCCAGAATGAGACACTGGCTCAGGATATCAGTTAACCCTTGAGATGCATGTGGTACTTAAGCCTCTAAACATGAACATTGTAATTTCATTTTGTATGTCTTCATTGTAAAACAGCTCAGCACTTTAAGGGTTAAAAGAAAAAAGTGTCAGGAGAGCTGAATGACCTGAAACCACTGAGCAATTCATCACAGATGTAAGACTTGTTAACTTAACATGCCAATTGTTGGTAATGAGAAAGATGAATAAATAAATAAATTAATTCAATACAAGGCATTTGAAAGCTATCTTACTATTCCATATTTATCAGCTTAGGTAATGTATATGATATTACAGGTGAATCCATTGTTTTAGCCTACAAATGATAACAAATAAATGACCTGAACAATGCATCAGTTCCAGGATAAACAAATGTTTCAATACAAAATTGATGAAGTTATAACTATAGTGATGACAAGATAATCTCAAACTTAGAAGTCACACAACACATTGGGGGATAAACAAAGTGACTAAACTTATTTTGTTTGTACTTGGTACAAAAGTCATAAAAAAAAATATTATTTTACTAGTAAGAAAACATTGAACTGAAAGCAAGGTATCAGTGAAAGTGAAACTACTGAGAAAAGCAAACTCAGGTATTAATGTAGGTATAAACTCAGGTATTAATGTAGGTATTAACTCAGGTATTAATGTAGGTATAAACTCAGGTATAAATGTAGGTATAAACTCAGGTATTAATGTAGGTATTAACTCAGGTATTAGATAGAAACTCAGGTATTAATGTAGGTAGAAATGATGACAGAATAGAGAGTAAGCCAAACTAATGAAAAGTGTCACCAATTGTATGGAATCGAAGTAAAGCTAAAAAATAATGGGAGTAGAGTTGATACTTAGAACATCTAAAATTGTTAAGTTATAATGTATATTTACACTAAGCACTCTATGTTGGTCTACAGCCAAGTCTACCAAAACCAACATGAATGCCTTACTTTACTGGAGCCAGTAGGTTTTAATGTCATGAGAACTGTGTACTAGTTAAAAGAAAGTTGAATGTTTTTCACACCCAAAAAAAAAAAAAAAAATAAGAACTAGACACAGTCTGGAAAAAACTTGATTTAAAAATAAGGCAAAATCATTTTAAGTGCCATTGTATTTGTGCAAACAGAAACGCACTATCAGAGTCTGTATTTGTATATAATGTAAAAATATATCAAATTCAACACATTTCATTAAAGCAGCTATTGATATCCTTCAAATGTCCTATGAGACATCTATACATAGAATGACCATAACATCGTGTGGGTATTCATATATATAAATGGTAAAAGATCTTTAAAATAATGATATGCTTATTAATCATTCTACTCAAAATTTCCCTTTAACTGTGTTAATTGAAATAACTTTTGTGAAGAAATTAAAAAAACAACTCTATCAAGAGTAGAGTATAACATTACATCTGTTTAACAATAACCTTACACAAAATTTCTAGAGCATCAAATGTTTAAATTTTTAAAAGATAAAATTAGAAGAAAAAAAAGGTACCCAAAAAAAACATGTACATGACTAAAATGTAGGTCTTGCTCTACCACAGACTGACAAGATATTGCAATTTGATCAATAAATAAAACAAAAAGATGTATGGTGTGTAATAAACTTGTACAAAAATAACAGTCACTTCCAGGACAAGAAGATCATAAAATCAGTCATGAGTCATTTTAAGATCTCTATTACACCAATGTTACTTATAATCAGTATATCATGACTGTATTACGGGCACAACATAGCGCCTTGCAGGTTGCAGATACCAAAGTGAATCTTGGAAGTAACACAAAATGCCATTGATATAATTTTATATATATTTAGTAATTTGAAATGTTATAATAACACTTATAAATAAACATTACAAATTACTGATAGTCAATAACTACAGCACCCATGAAAGTCAAAGATAAATTAAGCCCACCATAAGACAAACCCGCAGACACAGTTACACACATCTCATGCACATGTTTGTCTAAGGCACACAACTATTTTAAATCACTTCCTACACAGGGTGACAACTAGCATTTCTTCACAGGTTCAGGTAAATAAATCTCCACCTCCCCATCAACATTGCTGGCTGGTGTCACAGTCGACTGCTTCATGGCGGCCCGGCGCTCCGCTAACATCTTCTTTCTAGCATCGTCTCTGGCTTTGGCTGCCTGACGAGCTTTCTGCGCTCTGTCGGGGGATGAGTCAGGTGTGTCCCTGCTGCCATTGGCTTTAATGTTTTTACGTCTAGAACCTGGCAAGAAGAAAAACATGTATGCATGTATACATTGGGACTTAATTATGATGAACTTTTCTTTTAATACATTCATACTTCTTAACCAAATCACAATCATAAGAACCCAAGAATCTACTGAGTTAAGCAATCGCACCTGTAAGTCTAGACAAAAATATGTCAACAAAAACAAACAAATAATACAATTCAAGGTTATAAACTACTATTGACATCATTTGAATATACAAATCAAATGTATATTTTTTTGAAGGCTAGAATTTGGACTCTGCTTACTTTTTTTTTGGCTGATTTCTGAAGCCCACATTTTATCCTAGTTACTCTACAGAATACACAAGTAGTTGGCTGGTACTTTACATACAAGTGTCTAAGTGGAAAAGTGCATAACTTTTCAAGAGAGAGGGGTCAGGATTTCAAGTCCTGGTGAAGACTGGTATTTTGAGCATCGGAATTTTTTAAATTTCCCCAAGTCCAACCCACTCTAATGAAAGCCTGTTATTAGGTATGGAAAGCAAATGCAGATGGTTTTTGTCTACATAAGACGCTGAATAACTATAAGCCATTAAAACAAATGAGCTTTACATTCAGAGGCATAGTGAGCAAAATGTGCACACGGGGCTAAAAAGTTTATTGGCACAACCACCCCCTCCCCCATTTTCCATGAACATCATATAGAAATATTGGCTTATAAATAAAGAGTATTTAATAAAAATATAATACCAATAACCTTACAATGTACTACTAAAACATCTACAATAATTATTTTTTTTTTTGCGCCTCTCTGCATGTGGCATCCCCCTGAGGGTGGCACCGTGGGCATCGTGCCCCCCTTGCCTCTTCACTACGCCTCTGTTTACATTATCTGCCCCATGGACCAAAAGTCTAAAAGAGGAACTTCTTAAAAGGCAAATCAGAGTCCTGAAATCCTAATCTAAGACGCAGAATCTTCAGGTATAGTGTCCCTTAGTCTCAAAGTCTCCCTCTACACATTCCTGATGTTACCTGGAGTATGTGCAGGTGTAGCTGAAGGTGTGCTGGCCTGGGACACACTGCCAGACTTTGGGCTGGAACTGGCTGAACTACGTCTGGAAGTCTACAAGAGAAGAAAGAAATTCATGAAAACTTGAACAATGAAATGAAACAAACAAAAATTATAACATAACATGTATCATAGAACAGCAGCAACATAACATGTATCATAGAACAACAGCCCTCGGGTATAATAGTTATTGAGAGAAGGAGATGAAAGTGAAACAGACAAGATACAACAATGACTAGCCGTGGATATCAAACTTGGCAACATCGCTTGCCTAGCAGCGTTACACAACTGATACAGAAATCAAGTTAACATCAGACTTGACCATCCAGGTCCCAGGAAAAAAAAAAACACCTTCAAGTCAGATGAGCTATCTGGACCTGTATTGTCACCCTGGTCCATAAGGTTAAAGGAACCAAATAACATCACCCATATCCAGCCTGACAGCATATATTGGAGCTTGGGAAACATCCCAGTGAATAAATAGTTAAATATTTAGCAGAATTCTTGTTTGCCTTACCAATTTAGGAATCTCCTGCCAGCCATTGTCTTTCATCAGCTCAATCTCAGCAAACATGTCATCAACATGATCAACCTGAGTTTTGACCATGTCCCAGAATCCCTCAAGGTCTTCCCATTTAGTCTCTCTCTCATCTGGGTCAGGTGTCTGTTCAACAATAAATTAATTAGTAAATGGGAAACCTCAAAAACCTATTCCATATAACTCTGGAAACTTTCAAACAAATAAGTTACAAAAAATAATGATGATAATTTCTCTTCATTTCATGAAACAACCAACTACTGCAAATGTTGTTGCTTTTTTCAGTAGACTAACTAAAAAAGTAAATCTACATATTTTTAAAGTACAGTTAGTTGATGAATGATGAAAGTGTGTTTTTTTTTTTCTATATTACACGTATGAACTGATTTTATAAAAATTAACTTAAAAAAACAACAAAATAAAAAAAAAAGCTTATCTTACAGCCATATCTATTAATACTTAAACATTTATTTCCCTTTTTCAATACGGAGCAAAATTAATTAATTAACCCTTTTTAATTAACTAGTTGGTTAATTTTTTTTTAGTGACTTTTAGTGTTTTGTTAGGAACAATGACTAAATGTTCAAAGTTT